GAGTTGATACTGATATTTGGAGAGTGATCATATTCTTATTTGGGTCTCGACTTGTTGTGGATTGAGTCCGTTGTCATGGATTTATTCCACTTCGTACTGGACGCAACAAGTGAGATGTTTGGTTGGTATTGGTGTCGGCTCAGTTTTGGGAAAACTTTGCCGAGGTGGAGAATTGTAGAATTGGCGAAGAAATTGGAGAAAAACAGGTTTTGGAAGCAGGGAAACGTTTTTGGTGATGCTCGGTCGACCGCGAGGCTAGGCGGATCGACCGAAAACGTGCATAGCTTAGGGTTTGATTCTGGACTTGGTGTGGTCGACCGCGGCGGTCAACCGCCAAATCCTGTAATCAGATCCGAGGCTCTGGAGTTGGTGACGGTCGACTGCCACAGTCGATCGCCAAACACTAAATTGATTTTCTGGGTTCTGTCATTTTTCGCGGTCGACCGCGTATCTAGTCAGGCCCATTTTTGAGTTTCTTGTTCAGATTTGGATTTGTGTTTTATCAGACACGTTTTAGGGTTTATTTGGGGAGGTGAATTGGGGATATTTGGAGCACTAAAAAGAGGTATTTTCTGGAGCTATTGGTTAGGGTTTTGTTTGAGAGATTAAGAGTTTTGTTGGTGAGATTAATTGGTGAGTTTGAGTGATTTGTAATCTCAGTTTGTACTCTTCTTCTCTATTAGTGAAAACCCAATACCCTTCTTGCCCCGTGGACGTAGGCAACTTGTCGAACCACGTAAAATTGGTGTGTTTGTGTTTGTGCCATTATTTTGGTTTGTTTGGTCTTCTCTCTCGGCGTTTGTTTTGGTTCCTCGAAGCACAACGATTGGTGGCTTCCGCGCACAACATAGTCCTTATCCATCACATAATATGAATTGATTCTCCATGCAATAATAGGATTTGTATTAATATTATCAATTCACACTTCTTCAGACAATGAAACTCTTATTTGCGGATAGAACTCAAACTCTCGGTCAAAGCAAAGCGAGCCGAACAGTCACCAAAATCGAACAAATTTGAGCCATCATGACAAAAGATGATATTTTTGAGAAGAGGAGGGTCTCCCGTCTCCGTATATTTAGAAGTGGGAGGGTTCTTTTAAATTTGTACAACTATTTGCTGATTTGATAGAGATTGACCCTTTAACTGAGTTTGGAAGAAACTAATGCCAAAGCCGGCTCAATTTTTCTTAGGCCAAAAAAAGGACTATTAAACTGATTCTATTCTAATCCATTTATTTGAAATTTCGAGCAAGGTCTGAAGCCTGAGTTTGTTGATACGGTTCTCCTTGTGTTGTGGCGTGGATCTGTTTCTATCCTCACAGTTCGATTGTGAAGCTATTCAGACTCATAACGTGAGCTGTGAACATGTAGATTTGAAATTCAAAAACATATAATCTAAAAATCTTATATGGTTTCAGTTTATAATTCTAATCGAATAGTTGCTATTTCAACTTGTTAGATTCGGTACCGTTTGGCAAAGGGTTAAGTGAGGGGTTAAGGAGACTTAACCCCTTCTTAACCTGCCAAACACAACAAATCTATATAAGGGTTAAAGTGAGTTAACCCTCCATAATTTGCCAAACATGAAAAATATAGAAGGGTTAAGTTAACCCCTCTAGAGGGGTTAAAATGAGTTAACCCCTCAAAATGAGGGGTTTACTAATACTCCTATTTAGATGGAATAAGAGTTAACCCTTCTAATTATAAAGAAAATAGTCAAAATCATTGTTATTCTCAAACACTAAAATTGATCATAATGGCTAAAATAAAACTTATTTAACGGGTTAATAATTTAGTCATTCGGATTATCAAATGGACTAAGTACATTAATCCTTCTCTTTAACCCCTCTTCATTAACCCTTTGCCAAACAAGACCTTCATGTATATTCAAAGCCTACGTCGAAGTTTGTCCAACTTTTTCATCCCGATCATTCACCCTAACTGGTGAACAGCTGAAACAGGACAATTTATAAATAAATAAATAAATAAATAAAGGGAAACTCGAATTCTTTCGATAATCATATCATATATATATATACTCCTTTTAAAAGTACGAGTTCGGAAAAATCTTTCTATAACCAATATTACCCTTAGCTTTTTTGAATATTACATTGTTATCCTAATCTATTCTAATTATCTTATCTTCTTTGAATTGGTAACAAAATGATTTATTCTTATCATAATGAGACCTAACATGTTATTGGATAAAATAGATATGTTTTATATAATTTAAATCTTTTACTTATTTTAATTTGTAGAGAAATCTAAAAAATAATGCTAGCTAACACCTAAAAGTTTTTGGACTTTGTAAAAAAAATATTCTCCAATTTTTTTAAATTACAAAAACACACCTACAAATTCAAAATTTTATTAAAGCATCTTAAAAATTATAAATTTTACTTATCTCAATTCAGTGAGAAATCTAAAAAATATATGCTAACTAGAAACTGAAAGTTTTTGACTTTGGAAAAAATATCTTGTAAGTTTTAAAAACTACAAAAACACCCCTAAAAATTCAAAATTTATAAAACACACCTTGAAAATGTCAAACTTATAAACATACTAAAAGCCTACAAATAACACAAACAATCCCCAAAAATTTATGAAATTTGCAACACACACTCTAATTTTTTTAAAAAGTACAAAATAAAACCCTCAAAATTATAAAATTTATAAAAATCCTGATAATTTATGACCTAACAGTACATTAAAAATATAGTAATTATAAATATTCTCTGCATAATTTATAATTTATAGAAAACACCCTTAAAGTTTTAAAATTAGAAACAAACTTTTAAAATTCAAAATTTACAAAAAACACCCTTAAAATTTTAAATTTATTAGTAAATTGAAAGCATAGGAAGTATTAATAGTCTATAAACAATTTACAATCTGTAAAAAAGACCTATAAGTTTAAAAAATTACGAAAAATCCTTAAAATTCATAATTTACAAAAAAAACTCTATGAGAATTTCTAACCTATAGACACTAAAATGAATATGCAAAACTACTAACAACCCCTAGAAAATTAAAATTTTGTAAAAAATATCATACACATTTTAAAAGTATAGGTTTAGGAAAAAATGTTCATGGTAAATATTACCTATAACTTTTTTGAAAAGAACATAACTAATTAAAATTTTATTAAATCTAAAATTTATAAAAAAATACCCTTAAAGTTTAGTACATTGCAAATTACCCCTCCAAAGTTTGAAATTTTTCAATGATTTTTTTATAACTTCTTGATTTCAATGTAATGTTTAATAGTTTTATGTATTTGTAAATTATAAAATTTAGAATGTTTTTTTATACTTTTTAAAACTTTTGAGGGTGTCTATTTTGTAGTTTTCTAAATTTTCATTGTGTTTTCAGTGTAATGCACATACACATCAACTAATGATGATATTAAAAAATAAGTCATTCTTAAGATTATTATACCATAGTTAAGTATGCACATCACTAATCCTATTTTATTCCATAGTTATCATATCAAATTAGTAGCTAAAATAATAATTATTTATGTTTAAATTAGGATGATTGTAGTTGGTCACTCACTATAAAATTTTTATAAAAATATATACCTTACTTTCTATAGCTATCTGCACTGCCCATATAAATTTTATAAATTAGTTTTTAATTTAATATATTAAATTATTTTTTCCTTTGTAGAATTTTTTTTTGACTTTTAGACCGTTTAATCACTATACCACTATTCTAGCATAGAAAGGACCCCACTCTAAATGGCTTCAAGTTAATGTTTGAGTTTCACTAAAGTATATACTATTGTTACTATGTATATATATTTTTTAATAAAATCATGTCAACACTTTTTAAATAGAAGAGAACATTCTAACCTCTGATATTATAAAAATTAAATATAGCCAATTGAATGTTTATCAAAAGAGAACTTACATCAGAAAAGTGTGAATAATAAGATAAAGAGGAAAGGTAATGGCATTGCAAACAGTACTACATATAGCAAACTACAATGTTAACCTATTTTGTGGAGCCTAACTACTGGTATAAGCATCGATGTTTCCATATATATATACTTTATAATTTATTAAAAAGGGTCATATAATCTTATATAATAAAATTGATTTAATATTAAATAGTAATATCATTGTAATAATATCATTATTAGAAAAAATTCTTCATGAATCGATATGCATTTTACGATATATAAGCTATGCACTCTAAAATCTTTTGTCTTTTATAGAGCCAAAAAGTTTGAATACGAGCATCTAACATGCTGCTCTAACAACAACAAAATCCACTTAGGAGATATGGATATTCTAGATGAGTTATGTATCCTATATATAATACAATTGTCCTAGACAAGTGAGTGATAATAGCATTTTTTATTCACATCGTTTTGGGTAATATTTGATAGAGACCTTGCATCTAAGAAAAAAAATTATATTTAGAGCACATGGCGAAATATATCATAATCTCTCTGTTCTAATTTCGTAAGAAAATATATTCTTCATACTTTCAGTTTTACTTCTATGATACAGAGAATGAGCTATAAAATTGAATAAGAATATTAAATATTATAAATATGAGTGAAACACCAACTAAAAGTTAACATGAATATGAGTCAAATCACAACTAAAAGTTTAATGGACATACTACAAGTAAATTCATATGCAAATTTTTTTGCTAATTGAATGATCACCCATCTTTTGAACACTTCGAGATATTAATAAATAGAGATATTGTATTAAATTAATGTGTTTATAACTCACAAATAGTAGATTACGTAGCCTCAGTCTGGGTTAAAGGAAACAATGATAATATTTTATTTGAGAGAGAGATTATTGAGCTGATGATCAATCCCACAAAAAACTTTATTTTCTTTTTTTATTTTTACTTTATTTTTATCAATTTAAATAATCATGATATTCAATCATGTGCATCTCAACTCATAATATTTAACCACGTGCATTGCACGTGCATCTCAACTAGTTACTTAAAACATGAACGAAATACAAGGAGAAACTTCAACTATATATTATGAATTTACTATCAGTAATTACATACAACATGCCAATAAAACAAACACAACGAAATACACAGTAACATATTCAGAACATAACACTACTGAGAATCTTAATAAAAGTAAAAAAAATACCCCATATATATATATATATATGAGACATTTATTGTTCACTCTATAAACACTCATTCAATCTCATCTCATTATTCCTCCCCCCTCACACAGATGAAAATTAAACTCCTCTCTTTCCGTAGAAGGCAAGTAACCTAATTTTGTCAATATCATCATCTGCGACGAGAACGAGGCGACCGTCAAGGATTTATGTGTATGGGGCCGGCGTCGGGAGGCCCACGACGGCGCCGCAGAGAGCAGTAGTGTTTTGCATGGTGTACTCGTCCCTTACTGACCTTGCTTCATTCAGGACACTGATGTACATCTGCTGTCCGAGGTATCGCCTCTCCCATATCTCTGACCGGAAGTTCCACACCCCGACGTTGTCGAAAGTCGTCATGATCGCCGTCCACGATTTGGGGTACACTTGTATCGTGTGCCTGCTCACCGCATCGAGGAGATTGTAGCCGCTTCTTTTGTCTGGGGACCAGGTTCCTCCTCCCATCCTAAATGCAACAACAAAGTTTTTACCACAATCTTTTTTTTGGTCTGCTAGGTGACTCTTATTTTTACATCTAGTCTTATTATGCTTCATCTCTTTTTTTTTTTCCTTTTTTTTCCGTTAGTTCTTAAACTGCCACGAAAATCATGTGATGGTCAGAATTAGACATTTGCCATCAACGTTCACATCAGATTTCCACGTGAGCTTAGAAACCAAAGTAAATATAGAATGAGTAAATATACCTACTTACCCAACGGTAAAGAAGGAGTAACCATCCAAATGGAAGAAATTGGGGCTCCTCTCAGCGTTCTCAATGATGATCTCAATGTAAGTCCTGTGCTCAGCTCTGAGCACGTTAGGGGCCCTGGCAGTAATGGGCCCACCATCAGCAGCAGCGGGCTCGTCCTTCATCAGATCATACTTGAACTCCTTACCAGCGAGCCCAAAATACTCCAACAGCTTCAAAGGGGTGGCCGTGTCCACGTGAGATATCCCATTCAGTGCATAAATCTTCTTCCCTTCAAAGTTGCCCGCGTGCGACACGATCTTAATAGTCCTCGTGATGTTAATTGTGTGGGTGTGTATGACCCTTGCGGGTTGGGCGGGGCGCGGGCGTCAGGTTCCAGGGAACGACCGCACTGGTTGAGGCCAGCCATGCCGACGGGGCGGCTGGCAGGTCGCTGTTCTGGGGGGGAAGTGGTCTTGGTCCCGGCGTACCGGACACGCCTGTGCGGTCTAGGGAAGTACTTTGTGAACGCGTTCGACGGCGACATGTATCGTAGTTCTGACGCGTCTGGTCGGCTGGTGTGTGACGGGGCGGAATCATGCAGTGGACGTTCGAGGGAGTTATTCGATCTGCACGTGTGGATCGTCCATTCTCGACCAGCGCAGCTTGTGGCCTGGACGGAAGCTTGTCAGCGAGTCTTATGCCGAGTTGCGACCGGTTAGCGTGGTCTGCCTGAAAATAAGAAATGAGGACGCAAAAACATTGCACGCACATTTAGTCTGTCTCTAATTACAGGATGATTATTACCGCTTCCATGTGTGAAAACGGGGAATCGGTCCTTGGCGGACGTCCTGCGACTTCCGTTCGATTGAGGAACCAGAGGGCGGCGATTGCTGCGGCCTCTCGAGGATGCGGCGGAGGAGTCGTGCTGGCTCTTGTTACCATCCGATTAGGCGGGTAGTCTCGGCGGTCGGCGACGGACGGGATGAGGGGGGTGTTGATGCGGAGCCGCGAAGCCGCCGGCGGCCTTCTGCATCGTGGATGGTAGTAAGTAGCTGCCGATCTGGTCTTTACTTGAAAGTGGTAGGTGAAGTTGGCCGGCCGGATGGGCAGTTGGTGCCCGGGACCGCCGTCCTCACGAGTTCTTCTCTGTTGATCCATTCCTGTTCGATCGGTAAGAATTTGGAATCCCAAAAGTCAAGATTTCAATTATAAAAAGAATGAAGAAATTTTCAAAACAGCCTCAAATCATATGTTTAATTTTCAAAACCGACTCATTTTTTTTTATTACCAAAATCGACTCATTTTTTGCCACGTCAGCTTAATCTCATTTTCTAATTAGTCGATATTGCCAACCCCGACTATTTAGGACATAAAAATCGGGTTTAAGACTTTTAATTGGGGTTTAACAACCTCCTAGACAGTCGGGGTTGCCAACCCCGACTGTTTAGGAATGAGATTAAGCTGACGTGGTAAAAAGTGGGTCGATTTTGGTAAAAAAAAAAGAAAGTCGGTTTTGAAAATTAAAACATGATTTGAGGCTGTTTTGAAAATTTCTTCTAAAAAAAATCTATTAATTTGTAGCTAGATATGATCAGACGCACGCATCTAGTTAGTTGTTGACGACAACGTGTGTCTTAGTCATAGGGAAGTTTAATTAATTAAGGATGATATTTGTAATTAATTAAGGACTATGTTAAATATTTACGAACCAAGAAAGAAGGAAGGGCTCGTTGAGGTTGTTGAAGACGTTGATAACGACGTTGTTGTTCGTGGTGGAGTTGATGTTGGGGCCGGGGAACTGCCCGTTGATAAGAATCGCCCTCTGAGGAACGCCGAGAGGGGAGATGGTGTCGTAGGTTACGTTCCACGTGAAGAAAATATAAGGATCCTCCGCTCTGGCGATCCCCGCGATCGCCGCCAAGAGCACCACCAGGGCAACGGCGGATACCACCACCTTCATTTGTATCCTCTCCCTATGTTTCCTCGAACAACAACGCGTAGGTGTTTGGCACGTTATTTGTTTGTTCGGGAATAGGATGAGGGTTGATTCTGAGGAGGATTTATGAGGGGTTAAATAGGGATGAATTGGTTGTTTTAAGAGTTTTTTTTCTTCTTTTTCCCCCTTCACTCGTTTCTCCGGAGTTTCAGGGTTTGTAGTTTAATTTGTTTTCCTTTTTTTTTTTTTTTTTTTTTTTTGGGAGGCTCGCGCGCGAACGAGAACAAGAATCCTCGTTGTTTTGTCCCTGACCAATTCCTGTCGCTGGTATTTTGCCACCAAAGGTGGAGTAAATTTTAAGGAGGAAAAATGTGCAAGATGTAGAAACTGAATTTATACTCGCATTTATATTTGTGAGCTTGTTTCTTAAATTTATTACACGAAGCTGAATTAATTAAGCTAATTAAGTGACCGTCTTAATTAAGTTGTTCTATTCATTATCTATTGGTGCACTTTTTGTAATATCTTGACCTTCTTACTTATATGGGCCGTATATAATCTTTATCTTTATCTTTATCTTTACTACTTATAAAAGAGGATTGATATGTTAAACTTTTGATTTCCTTTTATGCACTCTCAATTTTAATAATCCCCAATAACTATAAGTATTAAAGTTTGTGTGGTTCTAATGACTATTAATTTCCTTCGAAATTATGTTTTTGGTTAAGTACTAATTATCATGTTAGTTATCTTGTAAGGATTTTTGGGTTCCGATGAAATTAATTGTATTTTGGGTTAAGCACTCATTCTTAATTTCGTTTTACATAATTACTATTCAGCTTGAAAATATAGTGAGGCATATGCAATAATATGATGAAGGATAATGTTTTAGAGCAACTAACCAAAATTATATTATTTGAAGACCTCTTCACGCATGTAGAAAGACCCAATTTTCATCTTGATTAAGTTAAATATGAGAAATGTTTGGCCAATATTTTCTTCAAGTTCTTTGTTTAGAAGAATAAAGAACTTGTTTGTAGTTATACCATAGAACTGTGCCTAATATTGTACAAATTATGTACAATGTGCTAATGTAGTAGCTAACTATTTTGATTTGGACTCCGATGAAAGGAGAAAATAAACACTAAAGAGCAACTTCTAGAAAAAAAATATATAGGAGGATGGATAATCAAATTATTTGGAGAGATGAAGAGTCAATAGGAAAGTTTAATTACAATTGAGGGTTAAATAAAAATGATGTGTACCCAATTTAGCAATATAAGAAATTAGATAACGTTAATATATCCTTAAATTTATAATCTAAAGCAAACCATTATGTAAAAACTACAGAGTTTGGACCATAAGGATACTTAATCTCTTTGGTAGTCATTTTCTTTATAGAAAATTTATGTTGGGACTATACTAGAATGGATCCCTAAAACTTTGATGTTTTGAGATAACCCCTAAACTTATTGTTTAAATTATAAATTTAACATTAAAAACTAATTTAATAACATATGTTAATTTATAATTTATCATGCATCACGTGCAAATGCACATATAACATACTAGTTTCTTTAAGATATATTTCTTTCCTTGGGAAATTATCTCTTAACTTTCAGTTTTTTATTAATAGGGTGAATTGGATATGAATTACTATCTTTACACCTACAAATAAAAATTAATCCCTCGATTCTCATCATGTACAGATTATCCTCCTTAATTAAGTTAGTTATTGTTAATCACATTTACTCAATATTAAGAATTTAGGATTCAGATCTTCTCCAATTAGGTGATAATTGGAGAGTATCAAAATTTCTCAATCTTTACCATATATCTCAATTTCAATGAATGATATCACGACACCTAAGATTTTCACTACCAAAAATAGTGGTTTCGACTGTAGTAGTTTCCAAATTTATTTTTGGTTTTCAAAACTAAAGTGGTATAACATAACATATAGAGTTTTACCTACGGAACTATAGAGTTTTGCCTACGGAACTACTAGAAAATAGAGTTTTGCCTACGGAACTATAGCGACGGAAATTTCCGTCGCTATAACATAACATATAGCGACGAAAATTTCGTCGCTATAGTTCCGTCGGCAAAAATTATAGCGACGGAAATTTTCGTCTCTATAGTTCTGTAGGCAAATAATTTTTGCCGACGGAAAGAGGTGTTTTAGCGAAGGAAATTTTCCGTCGCTTAAAATTTCCCGACGGAAATTTAGCGATGGAAAATTTCCATCGCTAAAAACTTTTTGAGCGACGGATTTTCCGTCGCTAAAAAAGTTTTCTGGGAAAATTTTTTGGGCGCGGGCGCCCAAATTTTTTGGGCAGCCCGCGCCCGATCCGAGAGAGGGATTTATCCCCAAATCCCTCTCTCATCCCCCTCCCCTCCCTAGATCATTCTCTTCGCGTCGACACCAGACCGCGCTGCCTCTGGCCCGCCGTTCCTGACGAGTCGCCGCCGTCGCTGGCCCTTCGGACAAGCCTCCGCGCTACCAACCATTCTCTCTTCTCTCATCCCCCCCTCTCAGGTCACCCCTCTCCCCCTTCAAATCTCCTCTCTCCCCCCCTCTCATCTCTTTTATTCTCTCTCCCCGACGGCTTAAACTTCTCTCTGCCGTCTCTCTCGCTAGATCGAACGTTCGTGGCCCAGGTCGACCGACCGACGAGAGAGAGGCAGAGAGAAGGGTCAAGGTGGGGGGAGAGAGAGAAAGAGAGATTCCTTTTTATTAGTTTTGAATTTATTAATAATATTTATTAATTATAATTAGAGTTTAATTTTTACAAAACAAAAAAATTATGGAAAAAAATCCAAAACCTAATAAAAATGTTCATCTTGATGAAATTATAATATAAAAAATTAAATTTAGTACGGGTTATGGTTAGGGTTAGGGTTAGGTGAGGGTTAAGGTTAGGGTTGGGTGAGGGTGAGGGTTAAGGTTAGGGTTAGGTGAGGGTGAGGGTGAGGGTGTGGGTTAGGGTTAGGCGATGGTTAGGGGTAGGTGAGGGTGAGGGTGAGGGTTAAGGTTAGGGTTAGGTGAGGGTGAGGGTGAGGGTGAGGGTTAGTGTTAGGGTTAGGTGAGGGTGAGGGTTAGGGTTAGCGTTAGGGTTAGGGTTAGGGTGAGGGAGAGGGCGAGGGCGAGAGGTTATGGTGAGGGAGAGGGTTAGGGTTAGGTTTCTGTCGGTATAGCGATATGGTTAGGGTTAGGTTTAGGCGAGGGTTAGGGTTGGGTAAGGATGAGGGTGAGGGTTAGGGTTAGGGTTAGGGTAAGGGAGAGGGTGAGGGCGAGGGTGAGAGGTTATGGCGAGGACGAGGGCGAGGGCGAGGGTTAGGGTTAGGGTTGTTGGCCTTCTTGTTTTGATGATGTTTAACAAACAATTTACATCTAATATTGTTTGTCTAGTATTTGTGTTTTATATTTATTCTAGGCAAACAATATGTTGGAGGATGGATGGAATAGCGCTTCAACGATGATATCCAATGAAGGTTGGCGGAATATCGGTGAAGCCTTGCTATTCAAAGTTCAAGATCCAAGTTAAAGCTTCATCCGAGAGATTACCTAGAAGAGCTTATTGAAGATCAAGATCTAGCTTGGGTAATTTAGTTTAGGGTTTATATTATGTGTGTTTAATACGTTAAGCTCAATATCTATACACACACATTTTATTGGTTTCTTCGTATATATATATAGTGATACATATATATATATATACATATGTTTTTGGTTTTATAGTTTTCAAGTTTATATATGAAACAAATGCATAGAATTGGAAAATACTATTTTGTTTCATGCTTATATGTATATATATGATTTCATCTTTAACAAGCTTATATTTAATGAAATCATATTTAGTGTTTTGAATATATTGCATAGAATATGCAATTTTATGAAAATATTATATTTCTAGGTTATAGACTTCATAACAACATGTTATATCTTTTATCAAGTCTATACAATCATTTCATAAGGTTTCAAAATGTTGTTTAAGTCAAAATATCAAAATATCAATTTTCAGGTTTTCATGTTTTGGACTATTTTGTAAAATGATGATATTTTTCATTTGGGAAGTCCTTTTTCAAAACCAGTCATTGTAGCATGTTTATTATCATGTCTACAATCATTCCCCAAAGTTTTACATTTTTTGGAATTTATTTGATATTTTTAAACAGCATTTTAAAATCAGGTTTTTGAGTGTTAGTTTTCGGTCGACCGGTACGGTCGACCGAACCTGTCATATCTGTTTTCGGTCGACCGCACCGGTCGACCGAACCTGAGGTCAAAAGTTCACTGGGCGACAGATTGCTGTCGGTCGACCGGTCCGGTCGACCGATGAAATTTTCCGGTCGACCGATGAAAATTCCGGTCGACCGACGAGGTCTTTTTCTGCTTCCAACGGCTAGTTTTTTGACCGTTGTTTTTTGTCTTTTGCTCACGTTTTTGGCTGAGTTGTGAGAGGGTATAAATACCCCATTGTCTTCAACTCTCAAGTTATCTAATGAGAGTTTTTAAACAAGTTTAAGAAAGTTTTTAACAAGGGTTTTAGTTTGGTTTAAGTGTGTTTAAAAAGCTTTTAAGCAAATTGAGAGTTTGGTTTGAGGAATCAATTTCACAAGAGCTTGAGGAGATCATCTATTGGTGTTTGGGCATCCAACTATTCTCTCTCCATCTCTTGATCTATTGAAAGTGTTTCTAAACTCATCTAGCAATTTATTATTTTGATTATAATTTCCATAAGCTAGATTTATATTGAGTTTTAGGTTTAGTTTTGATTTATATCTCTTTGTTCACACACAACCTTTGAGCTTATTGTATTTACATTCATAGTATAATTTAGGGTTGTGGGTTTGTGACATTGAGAGTGAGCTTAATTGAGTTCTCACCTTGTTAGAGAGAACAATCATTTATTATATTGTGCTTAATTGTGAGGATTCACTTGTAATACACTTGTACACCGAGAGAAGTGTGTGGTGAGAGACGGGGTCGAATCCAAGAGGAGTGGCGTCGGTTGACGTGCCTAGGGAGAGGTTGTAACCGAGCACTTGAGGAGGAGG